GAAGATGGCCCAAGTGCCATCTTGGGCCCCTGCCACCCACATGGGAGTCCCGGAAGAAGCTCCTGGTTTTGCCCTGGTCCAGCTTTGGCTGTTGTGGCCATTTGGGGAGTGAACCAATGGATGGAAAAATCTTTCTCTGTCTCTTCCTCTCCCTCTGTAGCTCTGCCTTTCAGATAAATAAATCCTTTTTTTTTTTTTTTTTTAAGATGTATTTCTTTATCTGGAAGGCAGAGTTACAGAGAGAGAGAGAGAGAGAGAGAGAGAGAGAGAGGTGTCTTCCATCTGCTGGTTCACTCACCAGATGGCTGCAATGGCTGGAGCTGCGCTGATCTGAAGCCAGGAGCCAGGAGCTTCTTCTGGGTCTCACACGTGGGTGCAGGGCCCCAAGGACTTGGGCCATCTTCTACTGCTTTCCCAGGCCACAGCAGAGAGCTGGATTGGAAGTGGAGCAGCCTGGACTTGAACCGGCACCCATATGGGATGCTGGCACTGCAGGCAGAAGCTTTACCTGCTACGCCACAGCACAAACCCCTTCACCATTTTTTTTTTTTAAATAAGTAAGGTGGGATCTGTTATCTAGTACCCCAACAGTCCTGATGGGTGTAGAAGAACTGAACTGTCAGATTCCCAAGAAAAACCAAGGTACAGTTCAAGGTCACACCATTGGTGGCTCTCTGCTCTAGAGAGGGCTTGGATTAAGCTTTGGGGAACCCTGGAGCTGTCACCTAGGACTCCCTCCCACAAGCTGGCCTCAGTTTCCCTGACTGTAACATGAGTGGGTCTTCAGGCCTTGCAGTAGGTTGGATGCCCCGACCCAGCCTGTTGCTCCTTGGGCAGCCTGCAGGCCAGCTGGGCATCCCCCTGAGCTTCCAGGTTTCTTGTGGGTACGAGGAGTGCGTGGCCATGATCTTGGGAGGCTAAAACAGGTCACCCGGCTCACAGCTGTGCATCTCCCAGAACCCAGCGCTCTGCTGGCTCCGAGGGCAGCACATCAAGAACCCCAAGCCTGAGGTCCCAGCACTCACAGCCGACTGCCCACCAAAATCGAAGAGTTGATTTCTGATGAAGATTTCGCTCAGGGACGGACCCCACTGGTTCTGCTCCTCCAGCTATGGTGCAGGCGGAGGCAGCTGGCTCTGAGCTGGTGTGGGTGACAGGCTGGGCCTCAAGGTTGTGGAGAAGCCAAAAGTGCTGAGCTCAGCAGGGTCCCAGGCTGCAGAGCTTGGCGTGTCTTGTCGGGCACTTTGTGTGATGGCAGAGCGGCTGGGCGCCTAGACAAATCTGGACCGCGAGCAAGGGAGGCGGAGCCCTGATACTGGGTGAATGAAGGTCAGAGCAGCACCCTCAAACCCTGACGCTCAGAGGGGGGCCCTGGGAGGGACTCACTGGCCAATAGGTGGCCTCCTGCTCAGGTCGCCAGTCACCTGTGAACCCAGGACTGGGCTATTTGTCAGGTCCCCTTTTGACTCATGGCCAGCAAATGGTCCGATTGCCTGTTTTAAAATTAATAAACTAATTTGTTTATTTGCGAGGTGTAGAGAGAAAGGGGGAGAGAGACAGAGAGAGCCCCTATCTGCTGGTTCACTCCCCAAATGCCCGGGAACCAGAAACTCGACCCAGGTCTCCCGTGCAACGACTTGAGGCACCGCCAGCTTCCTCCCAGGCCGCATTCTAAGAGTAAGGTAGAATTGGAAGCAGAACTGGGACTCAGACCCCAGCCGCTCTGATAGGAGATGTGGGCAGTCCCAAGCAGCAGCACTGGGACCAAACGTCGGTCCCTGCCTCCTTTCTGTCCTGCCACTCTTGGGAGCTGCCGAGGGTGAGCAGAGGACAGGGGAACCAAGTGTGGGCTCAGGAATCCCAGGTGAGGTCCAGCCATGGAGAGGCTGTGCCGTTCACCTCCGCACTGACCCTGCCTTTGCCCCACACCTCCCAGCCAGCCTTCCCAGCTCCAGACTGTGAACAGACGCCCTGGCTGCGAGGGTCTGTCCCCTGCTGCCCCCTCACTGGTGCAGGCCTGAGACCAGACTTGCTAAGGATCCTGCAGCAGGTCAGTCACAACCCCCCACATCCACTCCCCGCCGCCCAAACCCTGCAGAACTCCAGTTTGGAGGCCTAGGGTGGGGCGCTCTTGGCTCTGCCTCCTCGCAGCTCCCGGATGCTCAGCTGGTCTTTCTGTCCTTGCTCTTACTCACACCTTCTGCTATCCTCAGTATGCAAACGCCGCTGGAGTAGCACCCTTTCTGGGACTCCTGGGACTCCTCCAGGAAATGGTAGTAGTGATCTCACCAGCACATCATGCTGCTGTCCCAGCCAGACAAGGCTCTTACAGGTTGGGGACCCGGTTGAAGCTCCCTTCCCAGTCCTAGGAACTGGATCCTGTCTCCCAGGTCCGGGGCTTGGTGGCTGCGTAGGGAATACGAGCATATTTCAAATGTTTGTGGAAGATGCAATTAAAAGATAAGTTTATGTTGATATCCATGGCTATGAGAAGTCTTCAAATGGTTTCTAGAGGGGTGGGCATTGTGGTGTAAGGGGTTGAGCCGCTGGCTGCAATGCCAGCATCCCACATGGGCGCCAGTTCTAGTCCAGGTTGTTCTAGTTCCAATCGGGCTCCCTGCTGATGCGCCTGCGAAATCTCTGCACCCATGCAGGAGACCTGCATTGAATTCCTGGCTCTCAGTTTGTACCTCAGCCCAGTCCTGGTCATTGCAGGAATCTGGGGAATAAACCAGTGGATGGGAGCTCTCTTTCTATGTCTGTCTCTCAAATAAATCAGTTCATAGAATATACACAATTATGAGCTGGCCTCCGGCTAGCATGTCCCCTGCTTCCTGGTAGCATACAGCAGCACTTGTCAGCTCCTAGCTGGACTGATCGCCTGCTGCTCCCCCGTAGTGTAAATAATAAATCTAACTCTAACTCTGCTCACTCTAAAAAAAAAATCTATCTGTGGTGCAGTGGGTTAAAGCCCCAGCCTGCAGTGCCGGCATCCCATATGGGCGCCGGTACGAGTCCTGGCTGCTCCACTTCCAATCTAGCTCTCTGCTGTGGCCTGGGACAGCAGTAGATTATGGCCCAGTTCCTAGGGCCCCTGCACCCGCGTGGCAGACCTGGAAGAAGCTCCTGGCTTCTGGCTTCGGATCAGTGCAGCTCTGACTGTTGCCGTCGTTTGGGGAGTGAACCAGCAGACGGGAGCTCTCTCTCTCTGGTGCTACCTCTCTCTGTAACTCCTTCAAATAAATAAAAATAATATATCTTTTAAAAAATTGATTTATATGTATGCATTATGAGAAAATTATGCATGATTTCAATTTTTTTTGCACCAAAATAAACTTACTTTCTAACTCAATTCTCCGTGAACTTGTGAATTGCCTTTGTATTCAAAATGTTTCTCTAGAAAGGTATCAAGAAGCTGTGTATATTTAGCTGCATCTGAGGAACCACAGGAATGGGGCTGGGGTTGAGAGCTGCCTTCTGAATTTTGAAATAGGTAAATCCATCAGAAATATATTGCGGGGCCAGTGTTGTATAGTGGGTAAAGCTGCTGCCTAAGATGTCAGCATCCCACATGGGCACCGGTTCAAGTCCTGGCTGCTCCATTTCCAATCCAGCTCCCTGCTAATGGATGGCCCAAGTGCTTGGGCCCCTGCCATCCACATGGGAGACCCAGAGGAAGCTCCTAGCTCCTGGCTTTCACCTGGCCCAGACCTGGCCTTTGCACATATCTGGGGAGTGAACCTGCAGATGGAAGACTCTCTCTGTCTTTCCCTCTCTGTAACTCTGATTTTCAAATAAATAAATAAGTTGTTAAAAATATACATGTTCAGAGAGCAATGAAAATAACCAAATTAAAACAAAATCATTAGGTAGTTACATGAAGAACATATGCCAATGACTTTGAAAGCATCAACAAAATATACACTTTCCTGTAGAAATATAATTTATTTGTGAAAAAATGACACAAGATATAGCCTGTCTAGACCTTGAACCATTAAAGAAATTGAGTGCATAATATAAAATCTGTATTCCTTTCTTCTCAAAAATCTCATGCACACACACACACAAATCACAAAAAAAACTCACACAACTAAAGCAGAACACCAGGTCCAGAGGATTTTATAGGCAAGTTCAGTAAACATCAAGGAAGAACAGAAAAATCCTGATCTTATTATACACGATCTCCCCCCCAAAAAATTCTCCCCACACCTGGCTCCTGCCATCGGATCAGCGCGGTGCGCCGGCCACAGCGCGCCGGCCGCGGCGGCCATTGGAGGGTGAACCAAAGGCAAAAGGAAGACCTTTCTCTCTGTCTCTCTCTCTCACTGTCCACTCTGCCTGTCAAAAAATAAATAAATAAATAAATAAAAATTAAAAAAAAGAAGAAAGCAAAGGTATAAACCAACTCCTCTAGTGGACATATATGCAAAAGTATGAAATAAATTATTAGCAAATCCTCCGGTAATGCACTAAAAATATATCTAATTGTGTTTTTCCTAGGAAAGAAAAAAATTCTACTAATGTGGTTCAAACCAGGAGCAGGAAAAAATCCTGTATAATTGCACGGGGTGCATCTGTAACAGTGCAACTTCCTTAACCAGATATTAGCCTCGTTTTTTTGGTTCCTCCTGCGTTAGAGCCAGGAGGCCAGGGCGTTTTGAGTTTTTCTCACTACTGTCTGCCTGGCAAGTACGCTTCGCATGAATGACGGACTGTGAGTAAAGCCACAGGCAACCAGCAGATGGACAGCAGTTACCCCGCAGTTCCCAGCGAAGCCTTGGGGAGCGCCAGGTGGCAGAAGCGCCAGCCCCACACCTGACGCATGCGCGTTAGCTTCCCGGGCACCTAGCGACGGCCGAGCGTCCGGGCGCCTGCGCAAACCCGGACCGCGAGCGAGGTGGGGCAGGGGGCGGGGCGGCTGGCGCCTCCGGGAGGGCGGAACGTGGGCGGGGCCATCATGGCGCCTGCGCAGTCGGCGCCTGTCATGGGGGCGGGGAAGAGGCGGGCCGAGGGCGGGGGCCGCGAGGGAGGTAGGGCGGGCCTGGCGAGCGGCGCCGCGGGGTTGGCTGCTACCCCGAGGCCGGACTCAACGGATCCGGGCCGCGCCACCGGGCGAGCTCGCCGCCCGGCCCACCCCGGAGTTACCAAGCGAGCGAGCGAGGCAGCGCCGCGCGGTAAGAAACAGGGCCGGGTCTCCTCAGCGGGCGCCGGGCGGGTCAGCGTTGTCTCCTCAGCGCCGCCCGCGCGGCCAGGCCCGGGCGGCCCCGCAGACCCCGGCGGGCCCCGCGCCTGCGCCGTCCCCCGCCTGGGCCCCCCAGCGCGTCCCGCGCCTGCGCTGTCCTCTCCTCGGGCTCCCGGGCCGGCTCCACGGCCTGCGTCCGGACCTCCCGGCCCGCGCGCTGTCCCCCCGGCCGGTGTTGGGTTCCGGTGGCTTTTGAGTCCCCCCTAATCCCGTAGCCACCTTCCGCTCCGAGAGGGCTAGGGACGACCCAGGCTCTTGTCGTCTTTGTTCCCGGGAGGGGGCCGCGGGGCCGCCGCCCCTTCGCCCTGGTCCCCCTGGTCCCCCTCTGCCCCGGGTAGGGGACAGCGTTGCTTCGGCGCGGGGAGCCGGGGCCGAGGGTGGCGGAACCCAGAGTCTGCGCCCGGAGGAGGCGGGTTGTCCTTTGTACTAGGGATCTGGTTAATTGCAGTCAGTTGGATGCGAGTGAATACCGCGGTGTAGCCGAGGACAATTGTATGCACTCCCAGCAGCCTGGCGATTTATGTAGTTAAGTGAGTAGGTTTAAGCCATCATAGCCACCCCCCCCCCCCCGACTGAGAAAGAAATCAATTTCCAGGTAGTGTCAGGCTGTATACAGACCAAGCAAGAATTCCTGTGAATATCCGGTTACGGGGAACCTTGATAACGTTTGTCCATGCTCTTGGTACTTTGTCCTAACGCTTAGGAAGGGGCAGGAAAAATGCGCTTGAAATCGCGCCTAGTTGATGACAGGAAAATGTGGTGTTTTTTGTCGATGTTGTGAATAGAGCATTTCAAGCCATTCTGTTTCCTAACTTCACAACAGATCCGAGAGCTTCTCAGCCCAACAGCGGTTCTGTGACCCTGGAGGTTGCATCTGGAGCTGAGAGCCGGGGGCTTGGTCAGGGCAAGGGCAGTCGTTTCTGGAGGCTTGGGGCCCACTGCAGATTTGCCAGTGTGGGTTACTCCCGAGGGACTGTAGTGTGGTGGTCTTCCTAGTGGAGGATGGGATTTGGGGAAAAAAATCACATTGTACTGAACTTGAGAGGCAGAATTAGAGAGGCAGAGGCAGAGAGAGAGGTCTTCCATCTGCTGGTTCACTCTCCAGATGACTTGCTACGTCTGGAGCTGCGCCAATCCAAAGCCAGGAGCCAGGGGCTGCTGGGTCTCCCATGCAGGTGCAGGGGCCTAGGGACTTGGGCCATCTTCTGCTGCTCTCCCAGGTTTAGTATCAGGAAGCTGGATTGGAAGTGAAGCAGCAGGGACTTGAACCAGCAACCATATGGGATGCTGGCCCTGTAGGCGGAAGGTTTATCCCATGTACCAATGTGCTGGCCCCAAACTTACAGACTTTTTTCTCTATTTCCTCAGTGATTCAGTTTCACTTTTTACCTAGCTTTTGCACTGTGTTAGATATAAGTCATGTGGGGATAATTTCAAGTGTACTGGACGATATGCATAGATTGCAAGCAAATACTTCATTTAAAAATCATTTTAAAATATTTATTAGACAAAGAGGTGCAGTGAGGGAGTGCTCCCATCTGCTAATCCTCTCCCAAAATGTTCACAGTAGTTGGCGGCTGGGGAGCCTGGAGCCAGGAACTCAATCCAGATCTACCATGGAGGTAGCAGGAACCCAGTTACTTGAACCCCCACCACTGGGGTCTTCATTAGCAGTAACTGGAGCCCAAGTCGGGTGTCAAACCCAGGCACTCCTACATGGAACATGGGTGTCTTACCCACCAGGCCAATGCCCATCTCTACTACACCATTTTATGTAAGGGACTTGGATATCTCTGTTACCCACAGGCATTCTGTATTCCAAGGGACAATCATGATTCTTTCTTAATATTTATTTATCTGAAAGAGTATCAGGGAGAGATGAGAGAGATTTTCCATCCACCGAATCACTCCCTAAATACCTGCCAGCAGCTGGGTCTGGATGAGGCCTAAGCCAAGAACCAGAAGCTCCATGCGAGTACTTGGGCCATATTTTGCTGCTTTCCCAGCCATATTAGCAGGGAACTGGATTGGAAACAGCAGCTGGGATTCTGATACGTGTTGATGTTGCAAGTGGCAGCTTAGCCTGCCTGCAACAATGCCAGCCCCTTTCTTAATATTTAAAAATAATATATAAAAAGAATACATGTACATTATAAAATAGTCAGTACAGAAGGGGATATGAAGGAAGTAGTGTTGTTCTGGGTGGAATTTTCTTTCTATAGAGAAGTGGCTCATGCAGTAGTTTTTCTCCATAAATATTTCTCCTTCTCTTCACAAAGTAGAGTCTGTTAAGACTCAGCAACTTTAGGGACCGGTGCTGAGGCGCTGTGGGTTAAAGCCCCCACATGCACTGCCCGCATCCCATGTGGGCGCTGGTTTGAGTCCCTGCTGCTTCACTTCTGATCCAGCTCTCTGGCCTGGGAAAAACAGCAGAGGTTGGCTCAGGTCCTTGGGCCCCTGCACCCACATGGGAGACTTGGGGAAAGCTCCTGGCTCCTGGCTTAGGATAGGTCAGCTCCTGCCAGGCTGTTGTGGCCATCTGGGGAGTGAACCAGCAGATGGAAGACCTCTCTCTCTCTGTCTCTCTATCTCTTTCTGTAACTCTTCCAAATAAATAAAAACCAAAAAAAACAAAAACAAACAAACAAAAAAAACCAAAAACACCAACATTAGATAACTGAGAAATGCTGCTTTTTAAAAAAAAATTTAATTAATTAATTATTAGAGAGAGAGATCTTTCATCTGCTGGTTCTCTCCTCAAAGGGTTGCAACCACTAGGCCTGGACCAGGCTGAAGCCGGGAGTTTATCCGGGTCTCCCACATGGGTTTGGGGGCCCAAGGTCTGGGACCCTTTTCTGCTGCTGTCCCAGGTGCATTAATGGAGCTGGACTGGAAGTGGAGTAGCTGGGACTTGAACAGGAACAGGTGCTCGTATGGGATGTTGGCCCTGCAGGCAGTGGTTTAATCTGCTAAGCAACAATGCCGGCTGGAGAAATGTTTCCTCTTGTTTGCCTGTGTATATTCCTTTTATGCAGGGATTTTCTTGACACTGGTTTTTAGTGAGAAAGTGAAGATTGTACCATATTACTGTGTGTCTTGGTAACGGTCCAGACATCTGAGTGTCAAATATGTATCACAGTGAGTGGAGAATATTCGTAGTAGTTGTGGGTGAGGTGAAGTTGCTGTCAGAATTTCTATTTCAGACTTCAGTTTTTAGTGTGTATGTCTGCAGCGTGTTGTGTGTCATTTTACATGTGACTTCTGTGAAGTAGAGGTTCTCTTTATGCCCTTTTATCAGATGACTCAGGTGATGGTGTTGCATAGATTCAGAATTACAGCCTGGGTGGGGTTTACATGGTAACTCTTGCTGTTTTCCATATGCATATTTAAATTACATGGCTAGCTTGTACAAAGTATTCCACAATCTGTCCAACTCAGCTTGATGAACAATGATGGTGTCAGTAGTCTGGGGAGGTTCTCTTTCTGGCTTTATGGTTTTGGGGCAAGTCAGCTTTCTTTTCTTTTTATTTATTTAAAGATTTATTTATTTATTTGAAAGGCAGAGTTGCAGAGAGGCAGAGGCAAAGGCATAGGCAGAGAGAGATCTTCCATCTGTTGGTTCGCTCCCCAGATGGCCACAATGGCTGGAGCTGGGCTGATCCAAAGCCAGGAGCTTCTTCTAGGTCTCCCACAGGGTAAGGGGGCCCAAGCACTTGGGCCATCTTCTACTGCTTTCCCAGGCCATAGCAGAGAGCTGGATCGGAAGTGGAGCAGCCAGGTCTTGAACTAGCACACATTTGGGATGCCAGCAAACTGGGGCAGAGGATTTACCCACTACACCACAGCACTGGACCCAGCTTTCCTTTCTGACCTTTCATATCCCCATCTGTGAAGTTCAGGGGAGTGGAAAGGAGCCTGAGATGCCAATTTCAGCACTTGTGAGGTCTTCCAAAAGTTCATGGGAAATGTGTATTATGAAGAAACTGCATGGATTTAAAATATTTTTAAACCAAAATAAGCTTATCTTGCAATTTGTTTTTTCTATGAACTTTTTTCTCTTCGAAGATTTATTTATTTATCTGAAAGGCTTAGTTAACAGAGATAGAAGGAGAGATAGCCAGAGTGAGCCATCTTCCATCTGCTGGTTCACTCTTCGGATGGATGCAAGGGCCAGGGCTCTGCCAGGCTGAAGCCAGGAGCCAGGAGCTTCATCCTGGTCTCCCACATGGGTGGCAGGGATCGAAACACAGGCCATCTTTTGCTGCTCTTGCTAGGCCATTAGCAGAGTGCTGGATTGGAAATGGAGCAGCCAGGACACAAATCGGCACCCGTACAGTGTGCTGACATTGCAGGCAGAGGCTTTAGCCACTAGCTGCAATGCCAGCTCCTCCATGAACTTTTTGAAGTGCCCTTGTGTGGTGGGTTCCTGCCTCTGGAGTCTTTAGCCACTAGAACGAGGCCTTCTCAGCAGTTTCCTGACACTGTTAGTGGTCCTTCCTCAAAGAGGGGTGAGTGACATTGACTGTGAGAGTGAATCTTGGGGACATTAGTCAGGCCTTAAAGTGCAGTATTGAATGGGCCTTAGGGTAATGAGAGACAAGGGCAGTGTTGCGGAGCTTTTCATAAAGTTAACTGTATCCATTTAAAGGACTATGTCTCTATCTAGCTACTGTTTTCTAGATGTTAAAACTAAGCCTCTTTTAGGGAATTTATGGTGGTTATAAACGGCAGATATGAAGTAGATGATTTAGTTTTTAAAACTTTTTTTATCTTCAAATAATGTATTTGACAAGAAGTCTGTATATAAAAGATGATTTAGTTTTGATGTTTAGGAAAAAGAGACCTGCAATCCATCATTTGGCTGTTGATACAGAGTTTAGGAAAAAGTTCGTGGGGCATTTCATGTTATTAGGAGATTCAATTACAGGTTAT